CGCATAGATATAAAGCACGCATCCAGAAAAGTAATTTAGTCTTTATGCAGCTATATAAAATATAGAGAGCTGGTAAGATATCTATCGCTACAAAATTACGGATTTTTAAGACTAATGTTAAATCAGTATTGCTTTATGGATGTGAAACATGGAAGTGTACAAAGAAAATTATTCAGAGTTTACAAATCTTTATAAATAAATGTTTAAAAAGAATTTTTTAAATTTGGTAGTTAAAAACCGTTTCAAACGAATATCTCTGGTGAATGGCAAATGAAAAACAGTAACCTAGCAGATCAAGGAAATGAAGAAACAGTAACCTAACAGATCAAGGAAATGAAGTGGAAATAGATAGGACATACTTTGGGGAAGGATCTAGAAGCGATAGAAAGGCAAGTTCTAAGTTGAAATCCACAAAGGCAACGTAGAAGGGGAAAATCCAGGATTACCTAAAGAAGAACGATAGATAAAGAGATCGGGACAGTGGGAAAGACCTGAGAAGAAGTTGGAGCCTTAGCCGGGAACAGAGTCCGTTGGAAATGCTTTGTGGAAGCCCTATGCTTCTGAAAGAATAAAAGGAAATGATGATGATGATACTTAAGGGGGTATTCTGGTCTAGAACTATAAAAAAATCGATTTTTTTCTTTTAGTGTAGAAATTTGCATAGAGCGGCGCGCAGGCAGAATCTTGTACAGTGTATTGCATCAACATACGACTCATTATGACGGGATTCCTGCCCGAAGGCGCGCGTGTCCAGATAGTAATTTCGGATTTGTCGATATAGTCATACCTTCCCAACGAAGTTATTATAGCGTTCCTAATTATCATCCTAATTATCATAATAAAAAAAAGTATGCAAGTGACTATATCGACAAATCTGAAATTGCCATTTGGATGCTCATGTCTTTGGGCAGGCAACCCGTCGTACAATGGGTCAGATGTTGATACAACACTCTGTACGTTCGAAACTCGGTCGGGATATAAATTCAAACTTGCCCTTTATTTAGTGTTTTTGTCATTTTATGTTGAATAGTTCATTCATCCAATGGCACTCCAGCCCAGTGACGGGCTTAGGCCTATCTCTCTCACTACGTATGCATGTGGTGCGCACGCAGATTATATACATGCATACGGGACCTACTGTTTAAACCTCGGTTCCGAACGGCAAATTTTGGAGAGAGGTTTTCTTGGCAAGAATACTTTTGAGGTTTGCCAGACCATCGAAGAGGAACTACGAGCGTATGAAAATTTTTCGGCTCTGCCGGGGATCGAACCCGGGACCTCTAAGTGTAGTAGACCGATACGCTGTTTACCATGCCACGCTCGCGTTCTATGTTAAATGGTATGAATATCGAAATAAAAGGGACTAGTTTAGTCTACTTCCGAACTTCGAACAAAGCAAACGTTAAAGTATCGTGAAAAATAGATAAAAAGATTCGAAATTTGGTCATGCACATGCAGAACGCAAGAAAAAACGGAAATTTTGTGGTAATCGTTACATTCAGAAACTGATACAAATTTTGCAAGTACATCGGTGAAAAAAGCGCGATCGTCGGAAGACGAAAATATCATTATTGGTAGAAACGATGGTTGTGGCATTTTTTTATTTTTTCATGGTGTTTTCAGTCATAAGTAAATTAGTCAGCTGTAAAAAGTTACGTTTGCTGAAACAAGTGCACGAGGATTGGGGTTCAAAATTGCAGTAATGTTGTTGTGGAATTTTTTATATAAATTCGTTTCCTTTGATCAACAAGGCGTTTGAAATAAACAGACGAATTGTTGTGACTAAGAAACATTAAGTCTTGATAGACAAAGAATAAACATGTTTTATATGCGGAATCATGGATATGGTTCAAGGGATATTTAAAAAATGCTTATTCTGCATATCTTGAAAACTTGCATTTTGCGACGAAAGCAGTCAATGAATTGTTGACCAAAAAAGCGGTAGAAGAGGAAAAGAAGAAAATTCAAAGTCGGGAAATACTATGCTCTATTTGACTATTTCTGGTAATGGGACATGACAAAAACGAGGCTTTAGTTCTTTACTCGATGTAGTAATGCTAATCGAGAAATTCAATAATAAAGTATTCGATATTTTGGTAAAATCTAAATCGTGTAAATCATGCGGTTGCTGGAAAAATCGAGGTGACACTGAGGAGTATATAGCCTGACTGGAGGATCATCAAAGCGAATGTACTGCAAATCATTTTTGAAATGCAGATAAGATGAAAGTAGATGCATGGCTGTAGATGTAAAAGAAATGTTTCAACGATCAGAAGAAAAGTATGGAATTAAGTACATTATCTTCATCAGAGACAGGGACAGTAAAACATTCAAAGTAATATTAAATTTGAATCCATACGACGACTTTATTGTAAAGAAAAAGAGTGTGTTGGTCACCTCGAGAAGAGAATAGGCACAAGATTGTGAAATGCAAACAACAAAACAAAGGAATCGGTGGAAGAGGAGGAAGAGGAGTTGAAAAATTAACGGATAAATTAATTGGTGATTTGAATACATATTACGGTTTGACCATCAGAAGGGATCCGGAATCAATTGAAAACATGGAAGAAAGCATATAAGCAATATTTTATCATGAATCGTTAACAAATGAAAACCCACAACACACATTCTGCTCCTCGGATTGGTGTAAGTGGTGCCAAGCTAAAGCCAATGGTACTTTTGTCAATTTTGACCATCCTCCAGCTTTTGATCTTAAAGTATAAGAAATCATAAAACCTATTTACGAATATTTGACAACGGATGATTTATTGCAGTGATACTTAAGCGCAAGTACACAGAATAACAACGAAAATATAAATTCCCTCATTTGGATCTTCGCTCCTAAAACATATACTGTGAGGCAAAAAATGTTGAAATTGCCGCTTATTTAATAGTTTACATATTTAATGAAGGTTATACAAGCGTGTTAAAAGTCTTATCAGAAATAGGAATAAAATTTGGTCTGCAATCAGAAGCATACGGACAACAAAAATGACGAGCGCACCACTTAATCCAACAAACGATCGACCGACACATCAAAAGAGGCAAGGGCGGCCCGCAGAACTGAACAATCTGCAAGACTTTTCGATGAAAAAAAGAGTCTACTTTACTGTCCTGATATAGTCGATTGACTTAAGTATCGTAAATCTTTATATACATATTGTTAAACTGTATGTCAAACTTTTCTGCCATTTTTCTCGAAACTACTTTTATAAACTGGCATCTATGATATCTCAATATTTAATTAACCAATTTATTTCAAGTTTAAAACACACATAGAGCACATGACCTTCTATGACTTCTATCTGAATCAACTTGATATGTTACGAATTTTTACGTTTATTTCATAATAAAATTGTAAATTGTGGACAACAATCAATCTTCTTCTTTTTATGTACTGCAATTTAGTAAATTTGATTTTTTATTATTTGTTTTAATACCAGATATAGTCACACTCGTACTGAATAACAAGCTTTTCGGCTTTTCTGTTCCAGATGACAACTATTACAATATTGGACGCCAGGGAGAAACATTCTTTTCGAGATAATGCATGGATCAGCGAATAACTTTGGGATAAATTATTATTTCTGCTTACACGTTTAGTTGTGACTTCTTTAAGCGTAGATGAATATGTGTATAAAACTTGAAAATACTATGTTTAATCATTTTTAAGAAGACAATTTTTAAGAAAAACATTTACAAAGAAATAGATATTTTCAAAGTTCCAGACTACCCCCTTATACAGAATTTTAATTGAAATTTTAGCCACAAAGATATACAATGTTAGAAATTACAATAGAAATACAATGTTAGAAATTTGTAACAAATGGTGAGCTTTCTTAATACTCCTGTATTAAAATTATTGACTTCAATTAAGTTACCGAATATACCGAAGTATTATACGATTTTGTATTCTGTTTTTTTTATTATACCTCATCGAAGAGATGTTTGTAAATGTACAACTGTTTTTTAATAGTTATGTAATAATAAATACAAAAATTAACTGATATCTTGTATCTCGTATCTGTCGGTTAGAAATATTTGCGATGGCCATTGTATTAAATCATCCACGAATACATACATATAGTTCATTATTATTACATTAATAAATATATTCATTATTG